TATGTGTGGACACGATGGCCAACGGGATGCGGAAAAGGGCCGACAGATTGCCGTGGTTGCCGTAGTGTTCTGGGTGCCGAAAATACATCCAAGTCCGGCGACGGCTCGGGCCAGAGCTCGGGATTGACGCCCGGAGGCGTCGGTGACGAAAAGTGGGACCAACGAGTCAGAGGCCGGTGAGGCAACTTTGGTGAGTTGGAGGCACGATTCTGCTGGTCGGTGGATGAGGCTCCGCCATCTTCGACAACCATTTGTTGCATCCGCCACTTGATGTTTGAATCATGGTGGCTGGTGGACAAGGTCTTGGAGAAGCGGCGACTTTGCGATTGACCTGTGACGAAGGTTTAAACCAGATGTCGCTTCGACCGCTTGACGAATTGTGGCTCGGAGCAGGTGATGGCATCACTGAACCCTAGGCGGCGCTAATGCCAGGACGCTGCTCGTAAACGGAGACTTCTTTTCTTCACGAAGCATCGCGGCATCTCGAACCGCCCTGATGGCAGCTTGGCCACAAGAGGGTCGATATAGCGGATTGTGAAGTTAGGTAGGCATGAACCGGATGGACTGTGTCATTCGGAGAAGGACCGATCGATTGAGCGAGGAAAAAACATCCCGAAACGAGTTTCGATTGGTCGGTCGATGGATGGCCCAGGAACCTGACCGAGAACAAGCTCCGATGGCTACCTACCGCGTACACCGCCCCCAACCGTCTCAGGAACAAGCAGTTGGTGCCACGACTGGCATCTGACAGCGACAGACGGGCGTGCTTGTGGTTTCCTTGTGATATCGAGTCCCAATCCGGCGACACAGACGACGGTGGAAGCCGTTGGCGTGAGATGATTCAGGCACGCGGGCGACGCTGATGCTGGCCGACGTGGCGGTTGGGTGTCACCGATTCCAGTAGCTGCAGCCGTCCGCCGTCCGTCGGAGTTTGTATTTAGCGGTTTGTGGGTTATTTTGGATTCTCGTTTGGGGACGAAACGCCGCGTTGTAAAACTGTTACTGTTGAGAAGCACCCGTTGACGGCTTATCCGCCCAGAACAACGGGCAAGAGGAGGAGGAGGAGGGTGTGCCTCTCCCGTTGCCATTCCCGCTCCCGCTGCAAGCATGTGTGTCTTTGGCTGGTTGCGTTTCAGTGATTTGTTGGTATTGTCGACAATCCGTGACTCTTTCATTGAGCCATTCCAACTGCAGTGCCAGCTCAGCAATGCGAATCTTTGTGTGCCCTGACCAGTTGTTGCTCGGTTTGGTCGCCTTGCGGCAGGTTAGTCTAGCATCCCCAGGTCCAGATGTTGCGTCCGGGCTCTTATCTGGGCCGGTCTTTGGTGTTAGTCAAGGGCATGGATGTCGATACTTTAGGGCGAGCAGTGAGTTGAAACCAGAGCCACCGGCCAGCGCTGTAACGTACGAAGTAGACATGGCTCTCGTCCCTCTGGTCGGATAGATGGAGCAGAGAGGCCGGCTTGGATGGTATTGGTTAGCATCGCCTGGGATCCCTAATAATTGTCTAGCTCACGGCTGTGTTGGGATTAGCCACGGAGGAGTTGGCGAGCTGGAGTCAGCACAGGGCAAAGACGCCAAAGCCCTGAGGAGATCAGTGTCAGTGAGGGCCAGAGCCAGAGCCCAGACGTTGTACTAGAATGATGACTGAATGGTGCGATGGGCACCGCACCGCAGCTTGGCTGCAAAATGGTCCGTAACCAGTGCCGCAGTTTTGAGGGATGGTTTTCTTGTCTCTTACAAGATCGCCAGCTGACAGGCTGGTACTGACGACGTGGAAAGGGGCACAGCGGCGAAGTACAAGTTGGCATGTCACTTTTGCCCTCTGGATCTCAGGGCCAAACCAATAAAGGCCGATCCAATAGGAAGCGATCCAATGGCATCCTGTCCAAAAAGACGGGTCGGTAAGGTATCGTAGTACTCATCGCCCCCGGACTAACGTCTCGACGGCTCCAGCAGAGGAAAAGAGCAGCAGGAACGCAACGGACGGGACTCCGCGTTCTAGGAACGGTGCTCCGTCAGACAGGGCAACCGTCTGATAGGCCAGCTCGCCGATACGTATTGCGGTACTTGAGATATCATGTTACCGATGCGGGGAAGTCAAGTACATCGGCAGCAATCACCAACTTATTACTCAGACATAGTTTAACAGACAGCCCAGGGCAACTTGGGTTCGAAGTCTTGTCACTCCAGAAAAACAGCGAGTGGTACGGTACGTATTCGCTGTATTTCGCCGTTCCGCAGTAAGGTATCGACTGACTGGCTCCGACTCGCCAGGGCCTTCTTCACGTGTCAAAGGATATGTAGCGTTTCTGCGCCCGTTTTCTACCAACTTCTTTGTACCTTGATCTGAAGCAACGTGGACACGGTCAAGGACAAGGACATGGACATCCGTCACAAAGGGCAGACAAGAGTCAGTTGAATCATCAGTCAAACCTCACGGCCCGAAGCCGTCCCCTCCCGATTGGAACTCAAACAACAGCTCGATCCAATGCACCCTGCTGAGCAAGCCCCCTGCATCCCATGCAGCCTTTGGACGACGACGACGACAACGTGTACGAGTCCGTGGTCTTTGTAAGGCAGATGCCTGAACTCAGAAAGCCTCACCAGCAGGAGGGCAGGCGAGGCAGCTTCGCGAGCCGACCGAAGACAGCTCCCGCACGACCAAAGACTGCCACCGGTCATCGCCCCCCAGAGTTGCTTGACAAGCACACAGTCAGGACGATCTGGGAATGAGATGGACTGCTCCGACGTGGATCCCAAACCCGGACAGTTTCTACATCCCAAGAGATACTGGAGCCGGCCAAGCTCCCAGCCTTGGTACATACAGAACATGTGCTTTTTGAGCAACTTGAGGTTAAAAGATGAAACGGGCCTGGGCTTGTTTGCTGGCAAGGCAAGCATGGCATGCGCAATCAAGGAGCTCAGGCACACACTCTCGCTGTCGTCCTCACTTCCCGTCCCTTCCAGACGCCGGCGAAGGAGAGTTTGTGCGCAAAGTAGGTACGGGTACCTTGACAAGGGTGTTTGGAAGACCCTGAGATTGGCAAGGGTGCTACCCACGTCTGTACACGTGTATTCCTACCGTGGATGGACAATTAATCGGAGCTCACGTATGGGAAAAGGCTAAGCTAATAGTAGGAGTAGCGAGAGAGGGGGAAAGTGAAAGTACGAGACTCAGGGAAATGTGATTTGCATTACGCCGGTCATGCAAGTTCTCCACGCTTGCGCTCTCCTAGAACCCAAAGAATCAGATAGAGTCTGCTTCTCTGTCTTCTTTTTTGAGGCCCATGTGATGATGGCCAAAGGTTTGCGAAATCAGCGAGGCGCATCTACTAGTCTTCGGTGTTTGCGGTGGATGAACGGAAGTGTGGACTGTGCTGTGCTTTACTACGGTGCCATCGTCAGCCTCCAGCTTCCCGCTTTCTCTTCCCGTCCTTCCCTTCTTAGACCCTGGCCTGTCTTGTCTTGCCTTGTCTTCTCCATCTTCTCCAACTCTTCCATCCGCTCTTTTCCATTTGCCATCATCCCGTCCTACCGGATGGTCGAAATTACATGCCCTTCTAGGCTAATGGAAGATATTACCACCAATAACCACCGTTAACCCACACCACCTCAGCGACTTTGGCGCGCCTTCCCCAAGTCGCTTGTTTCTCCAGATTGCTCGTCAATTGGTCTCCTCTCCTGCACCCTGAGCTGTCATCTACCGCACCTTTTGTCCCGGCGGACAAACCCAGCAGCAACTCTTATCCCGCATCGGGTGGCATTCAGCTTCAGGGTCCAGCTGCGAAAGGAACAGGCGCAGGTCGCATCAACAGGGACATTCGGCTAAGAGGCAAACCGTTCCGTTTGGCGACGGGTTGCACATCCCTCGCCGCGACTTCTCCTGCAGGCGCCCCCAAATACCCTGGATCCGGCTGATCGCGTGTCACGAGAACGACAGAGACCGCCCGAGACGACCACCAAGGTTAAAGAAAAAAAGAAAAAAAGAAGAGGCGCTCCCGCATGAGACGTCCAGTGGAGATACCCACCACAACCGCCGCCCTACCGAAGTAATTGCCCAGGTGCTGATGCGCGCCTGAGTTCTCCCTCCCGTTCAGCCCAAGGAAGTAGTCGGTCCAGCCCAACCCAACCTCAGCCAACAATTGCGATACTTTCTACTCACGAATAATACGCTACGGCAACTTGCGGTACGGTGCCAGAGGACATCCACCCGTGAGCCCGCTTCTTGGTCGACCTACCTTAGGTGAGGTACAGGGTTGTTACGGAGACCTCCCCAGCCCAATCGACGTACCGGGAAATTCACCTCTGTCCGGCTGACCCTCAAAGTACCACTCACCAAGGATCTTCGTCACCCTAGTCACCTCTCTCTCTCTTCTCCGAGGTATTGAACCGCAACAACTCACCACTCATTATTTCCACAATAACCCCCCATCGCCGCCCTGCGTTACTGTTTCTTTCCTCCTTCGCGACTCTCAACGTATTACACCACGTCTTCATTCCGTCGACCGCGTCGTGATCTGGATCGCGACTGAACCAACCAAGGCTTCTCCCTCGACACAAATCACCTCAGCACTCAGCACATGCGATAACAACAGTGGAGACTGTCCCTGATTCACTCGAGCACCGGACGACCCTCCGCCACCAAGACTCTCCAAGGGCAGAACAATCAGACATATCTCACCCTGTACGGACACAATTTGGTAGGTTTATCCATCCTCTGGCATGCGTTTCGCGGGGCATCCAGGTCCCTGGGAATTAAAGGCACCGGGTCAAAGGACGAAGCGAATAAAAGCAGGGCACAAAGAGGCGACGGGAGACGGTAGACGGGACCGCTCGGAAAAAGCAACAGCGCTAATAAGCCCAACAGTGACGTATCGCAAGGTACTGCGACCGCGCTGCACTTGCCCTGGCAAGACATCCAAATCACCACCACCACCACCTTCGATGCTGCTTTCTAGGGCGCAATATTGCCTGCCCATCCCCAACAATCTATAATCATGTTGGCATCCGACTCGTTCCTGCCCTCGGGCTTCACCGATCACGACCCCAATATGCCCCTATCAGCCGTCATTTCACCACTTTCACTCAATCGAATGGCGACCTCGACTGGTTACTTCGACGACGCGAGATCGACATCGAATGTCGCCGCCACTTCTTTCTACTCTCCCCAGTCTTCTGACGCAGCGCGTTATCCCCAAGGCTTCCTCTCGCCCATCACCAACGGTCGCAACTGTGCAAACGGCGTCAACGGCGCGAATCCCTACGAACCGAGGACGATGACCTTTTCGCCCACGCCCACCAATCTCGACCAACTCGTCGGCCTCAATCCGGCCGTTGGAAGGATATCCTCCAACGGCATGCCTCACCCACGGTCTGTCTCGGCCGATGCAGCCGCGGCCCCGGCGTCAGCACAGATCATTCGGAGACTGGCCCAGCAAAATGCGCGGATACGAGAGGCTTGGGAGGCAGAACGCAAGTACATGGAAGCAAATCGCGAGCGCGTCGAAGAGGTCTACAAGGAGGAGCGCGCCCTCATGGAGGAAGAGCGCATCGAGTGGGATGCAGAGAAGAGCGACTTGCTGGACCAAATTCGCTTGCTGAAGGAGCAAATCACGACGATCGAAGGCGACAAGATGCGGCTGCAAGGAGCGCTGCAACGCCACGAGCTAGAGAAGGCGGGCAAAATCGCCGGCGTCACTGTTGCACTCTCAGGAACAGGAACAGGAACAGGAACAAGAGTTGGTGGTGGGGCCGATGGGTCCACCCAACTTTCCTTTCAAGGAATCTCCTCGCACCCCAATGACGCGCGGTTCGGCCTCTCCAACTGCGGAATTGGAGAGCGGAGGCCGACTAATGGCTCTGCCTCAGCCTCCGTTTCGCCATCCCAGATCCGATCTCAGTTTATTAGTCCCGGCAGTTCCAGAATTTCCCCCTCCAAGCAACCAGAGTTCTCGCCATTCATCCCACTCAACCCCAATATGCAGCCTACAACAAACGACGCCGTCGACTTCCTCGGTTCACCCAAGGACGAGGTGCCGGTTCCCATCGTCGACATTCAGATCATCAACCCTGAGCTTGAGGGCGTGCCGCTCAAGGCCCCGGCCATTGAGAAGAGCACTTTCACAGATTCTGGAAACACACCCGACAACTCCAAGACATCATCGAGGAACGTGTCACCGCCTGGAGAGCCCGGCAAGACGAAACGCAGCCCGACCAAGGAGCAGACCATTCAGGTTCTTGCAGCGCCCGAGATCGACAGGCTTGTCATGCATGCTGGCCATACTCCCAGCCACTCACTATCTCACTTGGGAACCGCACCAGGCACCGAAGTCCCGACTGCTGCCGATGGCACTGGCGGTTCTACACCGACTTTGGCCCCCACGGATATGAGTTCCAACCCAGCAACCCTCTGTGACGTCAGGGCGAGAGGAGAGTCGTCCGATGTCCACGATGACGTTGGTGACGGCTTCGACGAGCCCGAGCCTATGGACGCAATGGACGATATCGCCCTCAAGGGCCCTTTGATGATCCGCAACATCCCCGCTCATGACGAAATCTTCTTTCAGCGTCTATCCGAAAAGCTCGAGGATGTCAGTCGTGGAGAGGACGCTGTTCCGACTTGCCTCAGAGACTCAACGGAGGATCTCCTCGCCGGCCCGTCGGAGCAAAACGAGAATAATCTCACGGCCCACAAGGTTGACACGGACGCCACCAGCGACATCGGCTCCTCCACCGACATTGGTGACGAGTCTCGGTCAAAGGTAGAGGAGGTCGATATACCTCTGAAGCTTAAGAAGAGCACGAATTTCGGCGCCCCGTTAGGCGTTCTGTTCTAAGTGATACCATCACTTGAAACCCACTTTCTCTTCAACCGGAGCAAGCCTCCATACAGACGAAACACCTGGATAGAATTTCCATAATTTCAGATCCCCCTGCACATACGGATTCGTCTTTCTGCACAAAGTCATCAATCATCCACCAGGCAATGGATCTTCACAGGATAGACCAGCCGCTACAACTTTTCATATGTCAACCCACAACGGACGGTGTTTCATCTCTAACTCCGCGCCAATAGACAGAGGTGGCCAAACGGAATCAACAGTGTTCCTAGAGCAACATCACCTCGTTTCTTTTCTATGTTCAGGGATGGGTTACAACGGTTTCTACACAAAATGCACAATACCCCTGGAGGACTTTGAATTCCTTCACACGAATTGGTTTGGTTTTTTCACATGGATATGGTATCCATAGAGGCGTGTTCGCCTGAGTTTGGGTTGGAAGGTACAATGGAGTGAGCAAAGAGAGATCCCAGAGAAAGGACCAGCTCACGTGGCCAGTATGGGTTACCACAGCTTCAGAATGAGACAGGCAGCTTTTTCACGCCTGTTGAGGAGGAACTGGGGACAAGAGGAGCAATGTAGGAATTTGTTCTAGCAGAATTGACATTGCACATGCAGTCTTTTACTGGCTGCCTTTTGTTACCTTACAAACTGGCTCTTACTCATTAATATGTGAGCGATTGCATCTTTGTTGTTGATTAGTGTGTACATCCTCTTTCTCATCTCATCGTTGGGGCTCTATCCTTGAATGTGATCGATCTTGATCTGTGGAGACTGTCAAACCAGACCTCCTTGCAATCCATACGAAAGGCCATGCCAACAAATGCTGTATGAATTACTATGGATGCATATGCAGTCTCCCATCGTCCCTGCTTGATGAATCTCTAATGCAAAAAGTGCGCTCCTATTCCCAAACTCAGATTGATCCATGTCATATCCAGTTCTGACCTCAACCATCTCTTTCCCAAGCAATTTCTCCGACACCAACATACACCAAGGGGATGCATAGCCATCTACCATCTCCGAGAGGCCCTCTCACTTCTGCGACGAGGCTCTCAAGGGTAACCCCAAAACGACACTCTGCCCGGCGCCCTCACACCCGCTCGAGCAGATCATCAAGCAGCTCCGTCGTCTCGGCCGGCGACGCGATCCAGGCCGTCGTACCCACGGACCGCGCCTTGAAGTCGTTGCTGCCGGCGCTCAGGAACTGGTCGCCGATGTGCAGGGTGCTCTCGCCGGCGATGGGCCTGTCCGGGTGGCCGGCCTTGGCGGCGAACCAGCGCTGGCAGACGGTGACGCCCCACGACTTGTCGCCGATGTCGACGAAGACGTCGCGGCCGCCGTTGAAGGCGCAGAAGGGGACGCGGCGCTCGGGGGAGTGGCCGGCGGCCTGGGCGGGGCTGCCGAGGGCCGAGAGCTCGAGGATCTTCTGCACGACCAGGACCGTCTCCTCGAGGGACTCGCGGGGGATGCGGATGGTGGGGTCGGTGGGGATGATGCCGACGGCGCGGTCCTTGCGGAGGAGGGTGGCCGGGAGGTTGAGCGTCTTGACGCAGTCGAGCAGGGCGGCCTCGGCGACGTCGAGGAGGGCCGAGATGTCGGCGTCGGACCAGGCCGCCATCTCGGGCGTCAGCCACTGCTCCTGCGGGACCCGCGCGAGGAGGTGCGGGGAGTCGGGCGCGTACTCGAAGAGGTAGTTTGCCTCGCCGCCCATGATGACGATGGATTCCTTCTGGGTCGGGGTGAGGGTTTTGGAGGCGGAGATGGCATCCAGGAGGCCGTGGAGACGCTCGTAGTAGCGGTCTGCTGTTGTGTAGCCCGCTGCTGTCACGATGCCGATTTTGATGTCTTTGTGGAGGAGGTCTAGGTGAATTTGACGTTAATGATGTTCCTTTTGTTTGCTCAAGTGTGCCAAACTCACCGAGGAGACGGGGAATGACTGGATTAGAGGGCTCCAAGCTCTCGCCGTCGTCGTAGAGCGTCACATCTCCATCAAAGGTGGCGAGCTGTAGCGAACCCGCTGTGACAGCCATGGCCTGGGCCGAGTTGAGGATGAGACGGACATCGTTGAACGAGGGCGAAACGTAGCGGCGGAACGAGATGAGGCGCTTGGCATCCATGTGTTTGAAGGCTGCTTCAAGAGGCAGGCGGGTAAAGAAGGGGCCAGCGCTGGGTACCAACATCTTTAGTTTTGAGGGGAGGTTATTTGCTTCATCTTGGCGAGCGACTGGGCATTACGTTAGTGGGAACTCGAGTCATGAGGGGTAAGAATACGGCTTTACTGTGGTCGTCAATCATGTGCTCAACATCGCGGAGAATCTCAGCATAGCGGCGGTGAGCTTCTTCGGCCATCTGTGATGTGCTGATGCCTTTGCTGTCGAAGACTCCTGTGGGTTGGGAGTAGAGGACGAAGGGTACGGCGAGGAGGCCTTTGATCCATTCTGCGGGGTGTGTCAGCCATTGCGTCTTATGGGTAGTGACAAGCAGACACGAGGACTTGTAGAGCAGAGATACAATCCAAAAATTCAATGGATTGAGGTCGCTTAAAGGCTTTATGATTCCTTAACTCCCCCTAGAGACTTGGGGTGATGAAGCTGACGTGGTCTTAGGGCACTTGCCACGGCACGGGCTGACGTAGAGCGTTACGGGTGGCCGTACCTATGAATTGATCTCTCCTGTGAGTTTTGAGAGCATCTAATACATAGTTAGTCTATGTGCTCATCCAGAAGCCTTCTCCTACTTACACTCTACTCTGTATCTCGTTGTCATCTTGAATTACGGTGAGGGTCGGTGAAGGAGGGGTAAAGGTGTCTTCTAGGTTAGGTATATAGGTTCGGCCAGTAAGTCGATGACCGTAAAAATATTCAATATACTTCAGGTATATGATGATATAGACTCTCGATGTTTTTTCCGCCAGATCCAAGAGGTTGAAAAGAAGGAAAAGAAGGAATGTAGTCAGAGTTGATGAAGTGATGTTGACATGAGATTCCACAGGTGGATACCCCACCACCTTACACGGGCCAGGCCCCGCGACGTCGCTGTTGCTGCAGCTGTCACCGGAATGCACCAGTGATCAGGGGTCGGATTCCCGCTAAATCATCTACCGGAGGCCGCCGCTACCCGCGGCGCAGGCTCGGCGCCAACCACTGACGCCGCACTAGCAGCTTCCCCCGCAATCCCTGTACCTTGTGACTCTTGCACCTGACATGGCTCGAAGACTTCCCCTCTCCAGTATGACTTACTAGTTGAAGCAACTTTGATAAGACGAGTTGTGTTGAGTATGACTCTTCTGTTGAGGGATGCGTTGTGTTGAAGATGCAGCTCAACTAGATGACTGGATCGGCTCTGACGTTTTGATGCCAACTTAGCAATAAGAGCATAGAGTGTGATCTGAGTGCTTTGGCCGAGCCATTGACTTCAGCTGAGAAGAGAAACAAAAACGACAAATTGTCTCTCCAAAGGAAGACAATCTGATGGGGCTGGCTGGATGTTTAGCTCTGTAACTTGCAGAGGATTCTGGGGTGTATTGCTACATCAAGACTCAGATCGTACGAAACTACTCGACCCAGCACGATACTAGATACCAAGGAAACAACACACGGAAAGCTCCTCATTATTAGGCCGCGGGAGTCTTTTCGTCCTTCTTCTCAGGCTTGCGCCCAGTGATGATGTAGCTATCAACTATTAGCATGTTGAATGGTGAGTAACACAAAATCAACTCACATCGGGTAGTACGCATGGAACTGCTTGTTCTTCATGTCCTTGCGCACATCGATAAGGAAGATATTGAGCTCGTCGCGCGTCCAGTCAAGCCCGCGAGTGAAGGGCGCCATACACATGGCCTCCAGCGCGCTGCTGACGTTGTCGTAGGCCCATGTGCCAATGTTTTTGTAGTGCTCCGCCTTTGGCCAGTCGTTAATTGGCCATTTGTAGAAACTGAGCTTAACATCGACGAAGCCGACCTCAATCATTATGTCCTTGAGAGAGGGAAGGTCGATCCAGGGACGGCCCAGCTTCGCACAAGCTTCCTTGAGCAGATCTGCCATCTTGGCGAAAGCGCAGTCCTTTGGGAAAGTGTCATCATCGGAGAAGAGGCCGACGTCTCCTTCCTGGAGCTCAAGCCAGCCGCCCGGGTTGAGGTTGCTGTAACTGATGTCAGTCGCCCGTTGTTTAAGAGCGGACAGCATCACAGGCGATACTTACTCGAACGCTTTGGTGATTAGTGCCTTCCAGTCAGCCACAGCCGACGTCATCGCGCGACTATGGATATAATCGAACGGCCGTGAGTAAGTCCATTCCTCCTCAAGGTCATCGATCTCGAATGTGACGTTTGGGACGGTGCTTGAGCGCAAGTGAATGTCAGCACATTCCCTTCGCCAAGAAGGATTTATTTCTTACATGCCCGGCTGAGTGTGTGAGAGATCCATGCCAAGTACCTATACAGAAGCTTGTGTCAAAAACCGATGACTTTGGTATATTGAATATCTCGACTCGACTCACTTCAGACTCTGGGTGCAAGTCTCCAAAGTCAATAGCCCAGATGCCGGTCCCCGTACCTAAATCGAGGACACGTCCGACTTTGGCGTCTTCATCGCATGGGGGGGCCAGACCCAGCCTGCCATCTAACGTGTAGACATAAAGTTCATGTTGCATATCTAGCACTTCGGTAAGCACGGAGCAGAAAGTCACGCCACGGATTTACATACCAAGTCTCTCGGCCTCTCTGTCATCGTTCGGCCAGGTGTATTCTGAGATCGATCAACCCCAGACTATGAATTATATTGCATGAATTCTTACTGCCATCTTTGTATTTATGATAGGTTCTTCCATTCTCGATGCGGTAGTCGAGGAGCGAGCTGGACACGCTGGTGGTTGACGACTGAAGAGTCTAAATATTTGTTTCATCCGTAAGAAAACAATCACGCTGGAAGGAATACCCAAGGCCGTGCCCGGGAAAACAGCTTTCGACTTACCTCGACCTCTGAGCGACTGTCATCTGTCTGAAAAAGATTAGTTTGTGGAAATGCATACTAAACGCTTACACTCACCTCGTCAGCTGCAATGCGCACTTCATGGTCGATCCCGGCCATTTTGACAATCTCTCCAAGTCACTGTAACAGATTCACGTTGTGCTTTTATGAGATCAATTGCTTCGAGCAGAATCTGGGGGTAAGTTGTCTCTTTTGTGATGGACCAAACATCCCAACTGCAACCCCTCTTCTTCGACAGGGGGATTGGCAGCGACCAACGACACAAACATGCATATGCGCCATGGCAGTCTTTTCTCTTTTCAGTAACGTCTATGGGGCCTGAATTGCTGCAGAACGAATGAAGACTGGCGCAAGGATGACATCCAGGTTCGTTGAAGGAATATCCGCTGTTTCGACCAGTCCAGATATCGCTGCATTCCGGGGTCTGCAGTCCGCTTCCGCGGCTGCGGGCTAGGTAACGTAGTGAGATACCGCGAACAACATACCAGATTCGGCACCTGCACAGCCCGGCGAGCGCATTCCCAAAACCCCGTTACCGCCTGAAGCGAACGACAGCCTGATTTAAATGAAAATCCTTGGTCCGGACCGAGGCTTCGGTAGTTGCGAGGTCCCCGAAACCACGGTAGCTGTGCTATCGATAATCTACTTGAATCTCACGGAGCGCGCTCCGCGAAGCGGCTTGGACGACGGAGAACTCGACGTCAAGCTCGACTTTTCTGGCGCAGTTTTCTCTGAACTTGGTTTCCAGTTCACATCTGAGCCATCGTTCTCGCATGACGGGGTCCCTGATGATTTGGCCAAGATTGACCATCGTGGAAGTGCATGTCATCGTGTGCAATCCGGGCCCTGAATTATTGGAATGAGACTATCTCAGTTACGCCGTTCTGAATAACTGCAAACAACAAGTCTACCCATTACATGGTTATTCCGACCCGAGCACAGATTTGGGTCAACTGCTTGAGCGCCTTTGGAGCAACGGCAACAGTCCATACACATAGTTATTCTGACTACAACAACAGTATCTCGCTTACAACTATTCACTTTCAGAGTCTGCCCCCATGAAAGAGAGCAAACTCAATTATTCCTCGACCTAAACCGGCCTACTTCCGACGAACCAACGGCAAGGTTAACCGCTTCCCCCAACCTCATTCGCCCGCGTAAATAAAGCCTAACAGATCCGGCCAAACCACTCCCACAAATTTCACGACAACCACACTGCCCTCCACATCACCACCACCAGACAGAACATTATAACCATCTTCACCTTTGCAAACCAGCACATACGACCATACCCACTGGAGAACTCGGGATCCCGTCCGCTCTCCCATAGATAAGCCAGTGAGGGCCGGATTAGTAGTTGGGTCGGTGACGACCAGCGAATACCTGGTGTTGTATGTTTTTGGCGTTGATATCATTCCTTTTTGTCTGTTTGCGATGCGCGGACGAGGCATCCTGTGGCGAGAGCAGTGTTTTGACATGCGCACCGCGCCAGCGCTGTCCATCAGAACTACGACGACGCACGAACATGGGGAAGACATCTCGAAACAGCCGACAGACGGACACGACCTGTGAAATATCTTTATCACTCTCGTCTCGACCGCCACCTGGCATAAACAAGAAACCTAGGATTCAAGACGAAACAAAACCCAACATACCACGTGGCAAACCACCATCACCAGAACGGTCAGAATTCTCAACACACAACGTCGAAGCAAAGGGAGAACAGGCAAGCGGCCCCTCGCGAAGCCGTCCCAAGACCACCCGACCACGCATGAGCGAGCATCCAAGAAGCTCGGAGGAAACATGGCAGCAGGTGCTTCTCGCACGCCAACCAAGAAGACAAAAAGAACCGACACAAATTGACCTGGGGGAGTGGCAGACACATCTATCCCTCACACATAACACTTCGCCAAAAAACGTCAACCCCCGAGCACAATATCGAGACAGCGCCGACGCCGAACCCAAGGATATGTGAACTGATTTTGGTTCTTGAAAAGTTTGGGGGAATTTGATACTACCTAGAACCTTCGACAACAACTGAGCTTCAATAAACATCTCCACACGCGGGCCTCCCACGATGCTATGCCTACCGACGATAAACGACGGCCATGAGACGACAATCGAAAACTTGCTCATTTGGCGCCCACCTCGGACTGCAACAAGACTCATTTTCCTCCCCTGACTCTCCCCTCCCTGCCGACAACGACATAAAAACAGGAAGGGGGGGAAAGCCGTGCTTTGGGCACCTACCTAAGCCTCCCCGCAGCGTCGTCTTCTCATATCCAGCTGGCCTCCGGCCATCGTTTGCACGCTCTAATGCTCTTAAAGATCTTTTTTCCTTTTGGACCTCTTGTACTCTTTAGGGGATGGGGGTAATCGTAAATCTTTGCCTCGTCAATCTTTCTCCTGTGACCGCTCATCCACAACATCTTTTCGGCAGCTTGCGTGCCATATCCACCGGCGTGCGTGGCGGCAGCGGCTCACTCGGATCATCTCGCGTCTCCCTCTCACGAGTTCAAACTGGGGTGGTCAGAGAACCTGACATTCTCGATCGAAATAACCCCGTGTCGTGGAGGGGCCCGGCTCGGTCATCGATGAAGTCTCGGGTAAGGCTTTAGCTGGCACCGCCGTTAACGGGGCCAGCACCTTGTTGTTGAGCAAGGGCCAGCTGGGCGGCCTGGGCATTCTCGGTAGCCTTCTGCATGACGCCTTGGAGGGCGGCCTGGTCCTCGGCGGACAGGTGAGAGGCCAAAGACTGGTAGAACTGGGGTTGCTCCTCCTCCATCTCTGTTGGGTTGTTAGACCTATTCCTTTTAGATGGATGGTTGTCACTCACTCATCAGGGTAGCGCTGAACAGCAGGTAAGGGTCGACCTTGTCAAGGGGTGATTCCAGCAGGACGCTGTCCTCGCCCAAGTCATCTTCGGACTCGATATCCTCGACACCTCGGCTGAACTTCTGGGCCTATATCAAGGTTAGTTGGGTTGACGATGGGCGAGCGTGCAATGAAACTGACCTCTTCGTTGAGGAACTCAAGGTAAGCTGTACTCTCATCACGAGCCTCGGTAGGCTCCTCCTCTTCAGGCTCATCCTCGACGTTCCAGTTTGCCTCGTCCTCAGCCCACTCGTCCTCCTCGCCGTAGTCGTAGTTGCCGGCCTCGAGGTGGTAGTCGTCACGAAGAGCCTCCTCCCGGTTCTTCATGGCAGCGGGCAGAGTCTTGAAGAGCTCAGTGATGCCCTGGAGCAAGCGTGGCCATCCAACAGACACGCTCTGGGGAACCTGGTCAGCCTTGAGGCCGAGCAGAGCAGAGATCGCGACAATGCAAAGCTTCTTGTCGTGGACTCTAGTGAAGTTGTTCATGTTGCCGAACCAGAGGCTGAAGAATCTGTTCGTCCATCCTTGGGTCTCGAGGATGTGAAGAGTAAGGACGGGGTTGTAGTGGATGGAGTTGATAACAAGCTCCATGAGGTGAATCTTGTAGGCCTTGACCTTGACATCCTGGGCGCTGAGAATGGTCATGGCGAACTTGATGAATTCCAATACGTAGTTGTCGATGTGACCGCGGAGGTTCAGCATCATGGCTTCGGCCAACTTGCAGGCGCAGATACGATCGACACCGCCAACCTTGTTGTCGTTGAACATATCAGCGATCATGGAGAAGAGAGCCTGAATGTACTCAGGCTTCTGCACCAGCTGACCAGCACCATATTGAACAAAGTTGTCGAGGGCAGGCAGCATGTCTTCCAGGTAGAGCTCTGCGCCAGCCTTGAAGGTGGCGTGGATGAGCTCAAATGCTTGCCACATGGTGGGGGAGATACCCTTGGCGGCAAATGTACAGCTGTCAATGATCTCAAACACCTCGTTGTACAAGTCGTACAGCTTGTTCTCAAGAGTAACCTGGATGACGGGCATGAGAACAGCCTCAATGTGCAGCAACACATCAGGAGTGCTCTCCAACGTAAGAATAAGAGTACCGATGGTCTGCAAAACACCAAGCGCAGTAATGCTCTTCTCATCGAGGTAGTCGCCGTACTCATCGTCACCATTGTCCTTGTTCTTGTCGAGAACCTCACGGACAATGCGGAGGTAGGTGTCTCTCAGCTGCTCGCTAAGAGCAACGGCGAAAGGCGTCAGCTCGGTAGCGAAAACCTCGACGAAGTCCTCCATGACGTTGGCGAGAGCGTCGATGTCGGCCTCGTTGGCGAGCTTGAGCAGCTGCTGCATGATGGTGGGAATGCTCTGCTGCATGCTGGTGCGGATGATATCGTGACGAATAAGGGGCTGAAGAGCCAAGGCGGCGGTAACACGGACGGGAAGATCAACATCGGCCATGCAGTCGAGAATGTGGCGGTAAATGGTAAGGAGGTTGTTCTGGTCCTGGAAGTTGAGCTGCTCGAACTTCTCGATGGTGTCGCAAGCGCGGGCACGGAGGTAGCCCTGGCGACTGGTGAAGTCGGGGAAAACGTAGCGGACGAGGAAGTACTCGACCTGGTCGGCGATAGGGCTCTTCTTGCCCAGGATGACGGGGGCCAAAGTACCGATCATCCTCAGAGCACCCTCCTTGGCGATGTGGTTCTTCTTGTCCTCAGGCGCCTGCTCATACTCGTTGACGACAGCATTGACGAACTTGAGGATCTCGAAAGTCTGCTTTCTCCTGTTTTTCGTCAAGCCGACGAGGAAGTTGGTAGCTGCCACATCGGGTGCCGAGGCCTCTTCGTAAAAGTTGAGTTTCCTGTGGAGGTATTCATCGGGCTCGTCCTCGAACTTCTCGATATCCTCCTTGGAGAGGCACAGAACGGGGAACACGAAATGTGTCACCAGGTTCTGCAGGTTGGGCTTCAGGTGGTTCCACATCTCCTTGGGGCGCACCGACTCGTCAAGGAAGACGAGGGTGTATGACAAGCAGGGTCTGCTCAACCATGCCGTCTTCGCAACCCACTTCTCGATTTCGGCCAGATAATGCTTAAGAATCTCGGGGGCAATCGTAGCGGAGAACTCCTTGGCGAAGCGAACGGCGTCATCGTCTTTGGTGTTGGCGACAGACTGTGTGTTGCCGTGTCTAGTCAATGTTAGCAGAGCCTCCTTAAATCGTCCGTCGCTTTGATCTCACCTAATGAACAGGCGGTTGAGGTTGAAGTATGCCCACTTCTTGGCCTTCCACCAGTGGTGCTTTTCACGCTCGTATGAGTCGTCGACCATGGCGCTGGCCGGGATAGTCTTGGAAACGGTCTGGAGGAAAACGGTGCACCAGCCAAAGTTGGTCTGCTGCTCGCGCAGGAAGGCAGAAAGCTCGAGCTAGTTTGCTGTCAGCCAACGGTGTAAAAGCAGGGGTAGAGCCATCTGTATTTACCCAGGTCGCGTGCTTGTAGGCCTTGAGGGCCAAGTGAAGCATCTCACCGGCCTCGTCGCTCTCCTGAGCGACCAGCTCATTGCAGATAGCCAGCAGTCTGGGGAAGCTGGCCTCGATGATCTTGTCGAAGTGGACTCTGTTGTCGCCGTCCGAGGACTTGAATCTGTAGGCGCGGCAGATGGCAAGCAGGCATTGCAGGCCAGCCAGGACCGAGGGGGCGTCGTTCGTGTTGAGGAGCTGCATGGTGTAGTCCATGAAGTTGGGCCACTTCTCGGGGAAGTCGAAGTGCAGGATGCGCTGGAGGACGGGGATCAGCTGCTGCCGGACCAGCCCCTGGGAGGCGGCCATGATGGGCAGCAGGCGATCGCGGAAGCGCGCCTTCTCATCTTCGGCGATCTGTGTCTCGTTCGGGCTGTGCTCCGACTTCTCCCATCCCCGGTTCACACGGTTCTTAATGTAAATAACGGCTAGAAGGCGGCGAGCGCGATTAGTATGCTTGCGTGCGTTGTGGGGTGGATTCGAGACGATGATAAAGGGAAAGTCTCGCGAAGAAGGGGACTGGTCCACGTACTTGATAGCCTTACGCTGTTATCCTGCTCGTTCTGAAGGACCTCGAGGAGAACGTCCATAAACCCCGGGTGCTCTTCGATCTACATCGTTGAGGAGATTGTCAGCCAGCTGGTCTATAATAGGGTCGCGACATGCGCCTCGTCTCCGGTCCCCCTCCCCGAAGCGCTCGGCATCGGCACCGGCACGGCGTGAATGCAGCGGGCACCGGGTTGGCCTCGCTTCGCTTCGCAGCAACGGTGGTCGACAGACAGCTGACGTGCGTGTGCGTCCATGTCGAATGTGTGTGATATGCGTGCGTGCGTGCGTGCGATGCGGTGCGGATCGGCTCGGAGCGGTAGGGGGGCCATTTCGTGGGGGAGGGGGGTCGAGAGACGAAGGGGAAGACGACGTCTCCGTCTCCGTCTCCGTCTTTCCTGGCCTGCGTGTGTTGTGTGTAGTGGCAGAAAAATAAATAGATGTCGTACCTGCTTGAGCTGAATCTCAGCCCTCCTTCTCGTGTCGGCATCGGGGTCCAAACTGGCCGCGAGGAGGCCTCGAATCGCCGTGGTGTCCATCTTGGGTGAATTGACGGGGTGATGTCGAGGTTCAGGCGGGATAGGAGTTGAGAGGAAGGAAAGCGGTGCGGGTGGTGAAGACAAAATTTTGGGCGGGTCGTCTGTGTTGCCTCGAAATGGCGGGGCATACCACGGCGGCGGTCGACAGGACTGAGGTGCGTAGGTGACGGACGGGTTTGGTTACGGCCAGGAGGTACCTGGACTGCTAGCAGTGGCCCCGGAGAGCAATGTCTCGGGCGTATCGTGGCCTGGATAACGTAACCTAGAAGGTGAGGTGGTAGGTAGCTCAGCCTGGAGGGGATCAGTCGCAGAGGCCGGTTGGTAGCGGTAGGAGCAGTGGTAGTGAGCGAGGTGGGTGAAAGGACGTGGAGGGGGAAAGCTGTGGAAGTGGAAGCCCTGGAGGCACGCAGTGCAGGGGGCCAGACCGGCAGAAAAGACTGTGGAGGACGAAGTCAAGCGGCGCCAGATGCAAAGTTGCGAACCAGGCAATCGACCAGGAGTAGTAATTGTTGTTGTTTTAGCTAGGCATTCGTGCAAGTCGGTGAAGAGAGAGAGAGAGAGAGAGACCTGGGGAATTATCAGACAAGTCTATCCGCCGGGCCGTCTGTTTTCTTCTCTTCCTTCCCAAGAAGAAAAGAAAGAAAGTCCAAATTAACCTCGATCTCCCAGGCGGCAGACGCCGGGACTGGAATGCCGCAACTTTGGTTCTGACGGATTCAGGATCGTATCTCAGACCGTAGAGTGCGCAGTGCGGTGTGTTGGCTGTATCGTGACACCTAGATTGACCGATGCATTGCTTGGTTACTATGAAGATGCTTGGAATAGTATCTCTTGTATTGGGCAGGCTGGATTCATCGCCTCTACTGTCCAGACTGGTCTAAAGTAATTCAGGCGTGTGTTCTAAACGACTTTGGTCGCTCGCTTTGTGGCTCATACCTATGCCACACACACATACGTACACCGAATCGCGTTGACTGCCTCGTGTCAGTCGCCGGTGAAGCCATGCTTGTTTTGATTACCTATTTTCCCCAGACAGATGGCAACGCGTCTCAAGGAAATAAGGAGCGGCAGACGTGTGTGTGGGAATACCGAATACCGTCGTCGCAAGTCCAAGCAACGGGCAAGCAAAGCAGGGTACGGGCAGTTAAGGCATAAGGCCGTTGATCCAGGAAGTTATTGGCCAGTAATTAAGAGCTACTTCTTACACTGCTTAGTGGCCTGCTTTGCAATACTTTGCCCCGAGAGTCTGTTTTCTTCGGAATGCTGCCTTCAACTCGATACACGCACACAACAGCCTGCCGATAATAGCTTGCGTAGCATCTCCAACTCCGACGCATCTTACCCTTCTCTTGACACCTCGGATCGAGAAAGGCGCTTGTCATTATCATTGTCAGCACCAAAAGTCAAGTCCTGACACGCCCAGACGCCGGAGCTTATTGTCGGCAGAAAACAAAAGTGCGTCGCCCACCGCCCACCGCCCCGAAAGCGGTATGGCATCAGGGCAGCCTGAGGCGCCAAATCGGCCCTCTCATTGGACGATTTCTCTCGAGTGGTGGATCTCGGGCATCCGTGCCTGTCCTGTCTCCACAACGCCTTGTTCTTCCACATCTCTGACTTTTTTTTTTCTGCTATCTTTTCTTCACCGCCCAGTGGAATCGGTCTGTTAGTCCGTCAAAAAAGGAAAAGCGCGTCTTGAATCCCCCCTTCCGAAAAACCCCAGGGTCCCCGTCCCCTAGGTACCAACCGATATCACGACCCTCGCACCTTACACCTTACCCGACCCATCAAACTGACTGAATCTTGTCTCCTGCCCAGCCGGGCTGCCACTACCGTGTCCCCTCACTGATAGAGAACCCCTCCCCCTCCATTCATCCCATCGCTGCGTCGGCCCAACAGCAGCCAAAAGGCACCTACCTACTTGCCTGTGAATCTGCAACAGTGGAGGGCATCTCGCCGCCGTAACCCTCCTGGAAGACATATCCGGCATTCTGCGGTGCTCCAGACCTTCCACGCATGAGAATGGCTTGTATGCACACGACCGATCGTCTACACGTGTGTTTGTTTACCTTTACACGTGTTTTGCCCCTCCATCTCATTGTTGGGACAGGACACCATCGCCCCCCGTCAATCGCTGCGGGCCTCATCCACCAGCCGGAGGGGAGTCGCCGGGGTGGCTTCCAACTCGTCTCCATTTCAGTCCGGGATTCTCATCGAAAACGAACACCGAGCAACCAACCCCTTCCCGGCTCAGAATTTTCTTTCGATTTTTACCATTCGGCCTTTTCTTTCCGTTGGCGGCCTTGACCTCGAGGCCAGCGCTATGTCATCAATATTGGGCAATCATTAACGATCAATTACTGACATCGTGATACTACGAACGGGTACTCAAAAATAGCCAGTAAAGTTGTCTAAGAGCCTCAACCTCCAACTCACAGATCTCCAGTGATGTGTCAACTGGATATGAAACCTTCTAATGAAGCCAGGCATACTCGTGAATTCTGGATTGGTTTTTCATATTCCTATCTACATCCTCGACCCTATATTCTGAAATAAGCAATGAAACGGGTGAGCTATTGCATCACAGCGCAAATCCGAACCCACCAAGACTTTCCTTAATAAGGACACCCGTCACCGCACAGTAGAGAGATTCTCTACAACAGATCCGAAAACTCCAAGACAGAGCCAGCAAGGAACATCGTCGCTCCCTCCAATCCTCCAGATCCCCTCTGGAAAGCATAAACCGATCTTCAGGGTGCATTGCGACCATCCCATCAACTCCAAGCCCAATCCCAGGACCTCCTTCTCTTTCCCCCCTGAGCCGTTCAGCTCAACAGCTCGCCGGACCTTGCACCCTGAACATGACGAAAATAATAACTCGCCACTTCTCTCTCCTTTTCTCCAAATACGATTTCTATTTCCGCATGTAGAGCAGGAATGGGCCACGAGGAGGTTGAGGGGGGCGAAATGTTACGATCCGAGATGTCCTCTCTCTCTCTACGTAAGGAATACGAACTCGAACAAGTTGGAGTCGTGGTTGGACCAAGTTCATCTCCATTCTTCACATGAGGCCCCCTTCCCTTCCCTCCTCCCAAAACCGCCGCACACCATTCCCTCATAGCCCGTCAGGGAACCCCCAAAATCCCACGATCCCGTCGCAAACTCTATCCTATCCCTTAAGGTATCGAAAGTGGGATCTTCCGCATCCATCCCCCAAGCCGTAGCCCCGGGCCACGTTTTAGACTTCGATGAGAGAGATCCAATTGCCAGGCTTCAAATCAAGGTTTACCACAAGACAGACAGAGAACCCCGCGGAAACCTTGCCAGGGCCCGGCGATGTCAACTTTGCCCAACTCCTCCTCCCCCGTGATTCCCCCTGCCCACGTCAGGAGGCTTAGGACGGCGGTGCCTGACAGGCGGCGGGCTCTCATTCACGGATGTCTATATTCAAGTTCGAAAATTCTCCGCGGGGCGGCAGTGGTGGGTGACATCACGTCGTACCTAACAGCAGGTAGGGTTGATGCTGGAGTGCGTCGACGTGATGCGACGTACACCGTACCAAGGAGCCGCTCAAGTGCAACAAGCAGAGCCGACATTTGTTCACGATTAGCGGTGGATATGCGGCTCGTTTGCTTCGTCACAGAAAACGTCAAAAGTGTCTTCGTTCGGCGACAGACGGTCGCCTTCTTTCCATGTACCAGATACGCCAAATACATCAGTAAGAAATCGTAAATCTTTGGTCAATAACAAAAACAACCCTCCCTGGTCCCCTTCTTAAATCCAAAACTTGTAACAATGAAACAACAAAACACCGTGGTTCGCCGGTAAAATGCATACATCCCGAGAGTCAACTCCTCCCGCCTACCGAAACCGTACATGGCCTCAGTATGTCCTTGCCTGTCCTGGTTCGCTGGTGCCTGAGTATCCCCGTGCAGACCTGCAATGATGAATTAGTACTCCCGCGATTGGTCTCCTGGGTTTGCGTCTGGCTTGTCCATGATGGAAGGAAAAACAAGTATCAAAACAAGAAGAAATAATGGTAACTAACGAGCTGTCCCGTGGGATTGCCATGAGATTCCGCATGGAGTTCTCGGGGGCAAGGTGATCCAGAGGGTGGCATTGGCAATAACGTGCTCCTTATGGGTTGTCCCAGGTATTGGCAGGCACTGAGTAGTTCCTCGATTGCCAGGTCAGGCAAGCCCCAGTCCATGATGAAATCATGGTGAGTTCCAGTGGGAAGTGTCAACCACATGAACCGCCAGACTTGGTGTCCCATGGCAGGCTACAGACGTGGTAGCTACAAGCACGTCGGAAAACCAGATGTCGGGTGCTGAGCCCAGTCAAGGATGTGGCAACAACAAAATCTCAATCCGCGGACATGAACTGGTGTGGTATACCAGTGTGAACCGAGCTTCCTGGGAAATTGAAAGAAGCTTACCCAAACAAGAGAGCAAGCTCTCCGTTCTGAAGACATTTTTTTCTGATAAGCTCATCGAGCCGATAGTGGTCCAGTTGGATAGATGGACACATCCTGCCTGAGTGCCAGGTCAAGACTGTTCCATGATTGTTGTCCAGGTGGTACTTCCACGATTGAGTCCAGTAAGAGTTTTGTCCTGTGAAATGGGGCGCAGTCCACGATGGAAATATGTCCGGGCAGTATTCCACGCAGGCTTGTCCAGATGAATGGCTTGTGTTTTTCCAGGAGTCCAGGCAATTCTCCAGGGAGACATCCGAGGTGGTGAGGTCCAGTAGTTGAGAGTCCGGCTGGTGGCTGTCGCATTAGGTAAATGAGAACTCCCAAGAAAAAAGAAGAAATCCACGTGAATCCTGAGAAACGGTTGAGAGTCGTGAGAGAATCTCCAAGGGAGGTTCGCTAGTATGTACAATCCGGGGACTAACCTTGCTGTCCAGATATCGACCTCACCGTTCTATTATCAGAAACCATGATCACTCAGAACTCCGGAGAAGAATGAAACCCAGACCGGGGAAATAGAGGAAGCGGTATCACATCCCACCTTCAGGACGGATCTGGACAGCAAGATAGTCCTCCATGGTTCGCCGACCGCCGAAATGATTCATCTGAGAAAACGCGTCTTTTTTTCCGATCCGGGTCCAGGCCATAAGCATATGCAAACAGGGCAGGCAGTCCTGCTTGCCAACGGGGCATTCAAATTGAATAGCAAAAATCGTAGGTCCATCCATGTATGCAGTCGTGAAACGTCCAGGAGATGCGGCAAGAATCCTTTCTTGGGGCGAGATCCGGGGAAGATGGGAAAGAACTCCGGTGTAGTCCAAGAGGATAGAGAGCCAAGGAACTTCGATCCAGGGCGCGAAGCCAACGCCAGCAAAGCCAGAGAACGTAGTGAGAGATGCAGACTTGCAACCCCAGGAAGTGATTTGCACACCTCTGCCAGTCCTGGAAGGTTCTATCCGGGAGAAATAAATGATAAATGAAGTCGACGCCAGAAATGGGTCCAAGTCCCAAAGTCATTAGGATGAAATTTCATAACAGACAACTCACGAGATGGGCATCTCGTGCAGTTGGTATGGCTACAACAAACTCCCAAGGCGGGAGGGCATTAGCGGCGCGGAGGGCGGTGGCGGTCGGACTGGTGATGCCTGTCGGAGGAGTCCCTCTCACTGCGGCGAGAGCCGGATGATCCACTGTTTCCCATCTGAGCATTGGAATTCGAAGGGGTAGCCGAAGCGCGTTTGGGGTTTGCATCATACTGTGATCCTTGGTTTGAGCTGTACGACGGGTGGGCGGCACCACCTGCTGGGGACGCTACATAATCAGACGATGTCCGTGAAGAGGCGGAGGGAGAGTTTTTATACGCACCGCGTCCATACAACGGATCTTGGGAAACTGGCGCGGATCCGTAGGGTGTCTGAGACGGCGGCGGGTAGTAGCCGCCGGACGGGTAGCCTGCTGGTGCTTGAGATCCAGATGGAATGTAAGTCTGTCCCTGGGCAGGTGCCATGGTAGTAGGAATCCTTGCAGGCTGTCCTGATGAACCGTACGAGTCAAAGTTGCGCGAAGCGGCCATGTTCGCGTTGACTGCAGTGTAAGGTTCTCCTCCGTAGCCTTGGGCATGGCTCGGTGTTCCTGAGTAGCGGGGATCTCTGGGGTCCGGCTGAGGAGAGAAAGAAGAACCTGAGGGGTAGGAGTACCCAGCATTGGGAGCATAAGGAGAAGGGGCCTGTTGGGAGTAGCCAGCAGCAGCGGCGGCTGAACCGGAGTAACCCTGGGAAGAGTTTCCTGAGTATCCTGGGGCTTGAGATCCTGGGTATCTGGGAGCGTTGTCATAGGAGTCACGTCCCACGTCCGGGTAGCCAGCGGGATCCGTTGGGCCATAGTGTTGGCGCGCGGAATGAGTCTCCGACTGGCGATACCCTGCTGTAGGGGAGTTAGATCGTCTCGATAAAGAGGGAACCGCCGCATCTCTCGAGGCAAATGTACCTCCTTGGGTGTTCCGGGCGGCCTGCTGCCGCCTCTCCGCCTCCCACCGCGCAGAGTCTGCCTTCAAGTCATCGATCATGGCCTAGAAGGGCTTCGTATCAGCGATCGTGTTGTGATTAGGACGAGTCGAAGGGCTCACTGTTGTTAGGTTTCGGTACGCGGTGATGTAGTAGCCTTGGACAACCTGGCCAGTTTGAGGGTTCTGCGAAGACAAGTCAGCATGGTTATTCACGTCGACACACGGCCGTGAGGACGGGCGCTGAGTAGCGTACCTCGTAGTGACCCGGTCGCACCAAAGCATCGTTTCCGAGGTAGCGGCAGATATCGGCGGTGATGACTTCGCGATCAATGCCGTCTCTCGGGACGAAGTACTCATTGGAACGACCGCTGGAGGGGGGTGCCGCAGAAGAGCTGCCCGAAGGAGGGGCACCACGCGATGTTCTTGCCGACATGGTTGAGGAGTATCGTGAGGTTCGAGAGAGAATGGGGTCGAGGATTCGGACGGAGCCTGGAGGTCGAAGAAGGGGTCAGGAGAGGAGGAGGGAGGAAGGACAGCAAGAAATGGGATTGTCGGCGAGATGGCGGAAAGAAAAAGAGAAGGACGAAAGCGCAAAGGCGGGCAAGGAGTGGGTGGTGGGAGAAGAAAAGAAACAGGCCAGAGTCTGGCTCTTCTCTTGGGGGTGGGGATTATTCGAAAAACCGGGACCCCCAGCGGTAAGTCACCGACGTGGACCAGTTGCCAGCGGTCACTCTGAGTGTCAAATGGTGGTGACTGGTCACCAGCACACCCCTCGTCCTCGTTCCCAGGCTTTAGTGGACGGATAGCACAGGACGGGAGGCGGGAGGCGGGAAAGAATGAACGGTCAGGATACATGTACCGTACGTGTATATTCGTACACCGGCAGGACGGACGGGTGGACGTAAGGCACGTCTGGCTGGGCGTTTCTCTTCTCTTCTTCGTGGCCCAACCCAACTCAACCAGGACCGCAGTCGCCTCGGAACCGATCAGAGAAACAGGGCTTGTTGGCACCACGTTGTTGGCTGACAGTCCCGTGCGGACGTTCCCTGGCGCCTCAGGAAAACCCTGGCAACCTAGTAAATATGCCACTCTACTGTAGTAGGTATGCCTCCCCAGACCCGGGCCAGGAGGGGTGGTGGTGCATCTTAGTCTCGCCTGGCTGACCGCTGAGAGCCTGCCTTTGCCTCGCCTGCGTCTTGCTTTGGTGGGAAAAGGACCAGCAAAGAGCCAGTGAGCAGCGTTTCTAGGAAGAAAAGAGGCGGAGGGCGGTTGGGCGGCAGCAGGGAATATGGGTGGCGGCCGCTCTGAGTGGACGGAGACGGGATGAGGTGCAGCTGGAGGTTGGGCTGCCCAAAAGGGATACCGAGGGTGTCTGTATTCTATCCGTACCTTACTCCGTACCGTTGGACTTTCCGTCTATCCGTACTTCCCTGCGTGGTGCGCGCACTATTAGAATCCCAACAGACAATGCCAGAACTCTCTTAGTCCTGAACTGCCGGCTTCTAGCACGCGCCAATACCAACGTCGTGGCTGCGATGGTGGATTCGTGAAAGCAAATGTCGACGTAGTTGAGTCGCAAAACGCTGTGCGTCTGCGTCCATCCAGGGAGAAGCAAAGCCAACGAGGGCTTTTCCCCTGTGTGGAAATGAGCCGCCACCACAAGAAGCAAACTGACGTTGGGTTGTCAATGCCGCAGTGTCTGACCAAAACAAGTGACATGAGGTAATCGTCTCGACTTTCAGGTTTCCAGCCCCCAAATAAAGGCAAGCCTGGCTTACGGCTGGTGATCCCGCCCGTTACCGTTGTGGGTGCAGTTCAGTTAGGTACGTAAGGAGTACTCAGTAAGGCGAGTCCAGAGGCAGCCGAGGTGAGGTGCAGGCGACCTACTAGGGCTCAACATTCAGCCAATAAGTCGAGATTGTACGGATAAGTAATGCGTTGTCGTGTCTCTCTCAGATCCAATACGACAGCTGTCCGTTGCTCACGAGGTCGCAACGCAACAGGCGCTCAAGATTCGTTGCACGGGCTCAGTTGGCTGTGGCTTGGTCTGATTGCAATTGCGTCTGCCTTCACAGTCTGAAGTGACAAGGCCATTATTTGATGCCCAATTGGGTGTGTCGCGGATCAGTGGAACATGCGGGAGAGCCGAGGACAACAGCGCCTAGAAGTCGAAGAGCGAAGCCCAGTCGACAACCTGTCACGTTCCAGCGCCGAGTCCTTCATAGGTTTTGTTCATAGAATACGATTCAAGTGCATTAAGTGTCGCTGCCCGTGTCTTCCTAGGTTCGAGTATCGTTGAGTATACTTTCGTCCCCTTCTGAGAAAGGATTCGACAGAAATCTAGACCGATGGTGCCGAAAACTTTCGTGTGAGGTTTTCGATGCACCTGAGGCTCGATACACCGTCTCGGCTTGGGATGATCAGGTTTGGACGAGATGTGGCTCGTGAGTAGTTCAGTCTAGACCGGCGTGTACTGGTTGTTGCCGGGATATGTCGAGAATGACGGATGACTAGCGCAGTGGCGTTGGGCAGAAGCGCGAATTAATTGCACTTCGTGGTGGTGTCCCCGACGCTTATTGCCGAGGCTGTTGGAGAAATTCTAAATCTTGGAATTCAGACAACAATGCCAGACGAGATATAATAATGAGAGCGCCTCGTTTCCACTTTGAGCTGTGGGTACAAACCCTTAAACAAAATTCCGACAGTTTCTTCGCATAATAAAACATCGCTTGCTGCCGTGCGTTCTCAGCACGGCGAGAGACGTTCAAGGTTTGGGTTTCTTGCTGACTTCATTTCCCAGTCCCCGATGATCCTCGTTTCGTCTCTTGAGTTGCGTGAGGCGAGGTGACGCTGGACGTATTCTTCTTTTCCAATTTATCGACTTGTCCGTCTCTCATGTTGATACCCTACTGCGCCGGGCCATCCCAGCTATTCCGGCGGCGACCAGGCCGCCTACCCAGAGGCACTGGAGTTTTAGGAGGCAGATCCTGACTTCGAGTTCCAGCTGACTTGAATCAAGATTTCGTCGATGCGGAGGTGCTATTAGGGCTTTTCCCTGCATGTCTTACCACCACTCCGCGAGACAGCAGCCTCCGTTGTTGCCCTAAGGTGCACCTGTGTCGAGCCGCGATCACCACTCCCACGCCGCTGTATTGCTGCAACAAGCTCGAGATTGGCGACATGACGAGGTTCTCTTCCATTCACTGGGATGTCTCATCCCTTCTGTGTCCCTTCTGTCGACTCCTCTTCGTCTTCTTTTCTTCACTCACGACCGGCAATAATTTGTGCGCTTGCGCGCGTGCGTACTTTATCCGGAAAGCAGAAACAATCCGTACCTATGCTGAGGTAAGGTAACATAGTGGTATCTTGGGAACGGTGCAGTTGCTGGCGTCGTTGGGTATCAATGCTTCGCGCCAAAATAATTGTGGCCCAACCCACATTAGCCCAAAGGATGCCTGACCCGCAGCCAATCATCGACAGACGTCATCTGTATTGTGACAAGATAACCCGACACACTCAAAACGATACGTGAACGGCAGCCCCGACATTCTCGCGGAAAGGGACTCGATTAAAGGCACCTGATCCATGGATTGCAACTATCGCTGCGAGTCTGATGTTTCTTCTTTGGCTTCCCGCCTCTGCACAATCCGGCTGTCCCTGGCCGTGGCTAGGCACCGCCCCTGACGGTCTCAATATCCAATACGGCGGGGATCCGACGAGGTCGCGGCTTGCTGCAGGTAGGAGTTGCGATGACGACACTTCCGGGCGTGTTGAATCCACGTGGAGCCATCCGCGCCGGACGCCTCCAAAAGCATACGGGGCTGTCGTGGCCTGCCAAGTTCACAGGGCCTGATGGTCTGAAAACCATGAGGCCCGGTAGATTGCAACTCAGCCCGAGCCCGGTGGCTACTCCATGATCCGTAAATATATCTGACAAGCATCGAGCCGGCCCATTGTGGATATCCTCGCTCCTCCTGTTCAAGCCTGACTTTTCTGGACAACGGGGCTTGTATTGCTCCTGTCGTGCGGATGCTTTGATCCAGGGTTTTCGCAAGGTGGGCGTGCATATCTTGAGCCCGATAACCGTCGAGAACTCATTGGATCAGGTTCGCCGAGACTTCTACACGTGTAGATCAATTTGCGATCCACGATGACCCTGAAATCGAGTCTCAGAGCGCAAAGCCGTCAATTTCATGTCGGGTATCAGGCGGCAAGACCCGCTTGACAAACTTTCTGATGTAGTACCGGTGCTGGTGTATTTTCAGAGCTCATCCAAACTTCAATCTGCTCTGTCCTTGCTCGAGTTTGCCTCCACGGCCCCCTCGCTTGGCCGATGCTGCCGATGCTTTTGTGCCGGAGCTGCGTGCAGCAGAAGGGCGGTTGGCAAACGCGGCACTGCCACGTTCTTGTTCTTGAAGGTCTTTGGCAAAGTGCCAGTCTGCATGACTCTGGTGTTCTTCCGGCGTTTCGAACCCGGTGTTGCACCGTGAACAGACGAAGGGCGTGATTGGTGCCTGAGAAGCAATATTGTCGCCCACCTCCTGCAGGCCGTTCGTTGTTGGAGTAACCGCCCGAGGATCCTCGTCCACAACGTCCTCTCGGATTTGACGATCTTGGTCAGTTGTGGCATCGTCCGACGGCACTTCGTTGTCAGTGGAAACGTTCCGAGTAAAGAAGCGATGGATGGCCCCTCCCTCTGTCCGACGGCGTTTGGCCGACCTGTCTTCTGATGGCAACGGCTGTGTTGCTTCACGGGTGGCCTGGTTGAGTGCCTGTGCCTCTTCCCCTTTTAGCAGAAAAGCGCCGATGCCTTTGTTGCCCGTAACGCCATCTTCGAAACCTCCAACGCTCAAGCTGAGGTTTGCGCATGGCCATACCTGACCCTCTGCTATGATCTGATTGAGAAGATTCCTTGCCAGTTCAAGCAGTGAATGCTCGTCAAGAGGCCTGCCCTGCGGAATTGGACCTGACCGTGACTTCATCTGACCGGCGTGGCGATGATGCAAGTTCATCGTTCTTGGCCGGCGCTTGTTTTCTAGGACGCCCTCTTCGACCAATCGGGCGAAAATGTCTGCCACGAATATTCTCAGCCATCTGATAGCTTGCTCAGGAGTGTTGATGTAAGGTCGGAAGGATTTCGCCGAAAGCATTGACTTGATTTGTGTGCGCGAGTTAACTTCGCTATGGTCAATACCCCGAATGGTGTTGTGAACCCAGGTTCCTGTGTCGGGTCCTAACTTCGCCTTCATCTGGTCCAAAGGTATGGCTAGGAGTTCGCTGACGGCGTCCGTGTTGAATGTTGTGACAAGATTCTCGCCAAGTTTCCCCCCGAGATTGCGCATCTTTGTGAACTTGAAATCGGACAGGAATTGGTCCACAGCTCGATTACGGATCACAGTCTGCTGGTTGGGCTTCTTGTGAGCCGAGCCCAACTTGCTGAGCAGCTTGTTCTTGGCGACACCGGCCGAGCATGTGTACTGCAGCTTCTCCAGAATCTTCTGTCGTACGCCTCGTACGATTTCGGATCCAATGAGTATCGCCACATCGTCCCAGTCGGGGTCCACGGTCTCTTCCTCCTCGTCAAGGTCGACGAGAGCGTCCGCTTGCCAATCCAATGCTGAAACTGATGGGCTCGGCAAGTTTTCGGTCGGGTCATCATAAGGGGGTGGATTCGCGAGTTCCGGAAAGCGTTCGAGTAGAATGTAGTGCACCTGGGCAGATAAGTCCAGGAAAACCTCGTCGATACTGGCCTTTTCGACCTTTTGCAGATCTTGAGGCAAGCTCTCTTTGATGACGGCCAAAATCTTCCTGGATTGCAGACGGTAAGGATCAAGAGAGACTTTGTCGCTTTGGATGTTGGCAGCAGCATCATCGCGATAAGCCCACTTGTCATCGCCCTCTCTCCAGGTAGCAACATGCTGAGCAATGAGTGTAGGACACTTCTTCTTTGCGTCGGTCACTGTGCTGTGACGGCTGATGCCATGGTCACGTGCCGGATAGTTGATAGCAATCAGACCTTGCCTGGTCCTTGTTAGCATGAAGCCATGATAGTATAGAGAAAAATGCTTACCACTGCTGGACGGCTAGAGGCTGATCCTTAGGGGTACCCAAACGGACCATTTCACACTGAGCGTAAAAGGCATCTAGGTCGATATGTGCGATCACTCTCAAAGGGCAAAGCGGGCTGTAGTTGCCAAGTTGGGACAAATGCCGATAGGTGAATTGGGATTTGCGTCTGGCCGTGCCTGCGAGGGGAGAAGAATCCCGGAAGGGTTGCGAGGACGACATGATTTCGAGAGTCGCAACAACTAGTTATCGCTGGCATGGGTGCTGAATTTCAGCCACGAAATAGTGTAGCAAACATCGGGACAGCGTGAGAATGAGTTGCGGCGTCCTGCTGTCGTCGAAACTCTCCTGATCAGTTGTGGTAAGTTGGTCAGTGATGAAGCTGACGATGGGTAGTTGCACAGATATTTCGCTAATCGAGGCGACGCGACCCCAGACGCGCCGCCCTTTAGGTACAACCAAATCCAAAGGCGGTTAGCGCTCTCAAAGACCCATTTTTCCCCAACGATGATCCGCAGATTCCTTGCGCCTGCGGACCGCCTTCCGATCTTTTCCATCATTCCCAACTGCCAGACATCGATCTCTCAGGTCATGTTTGCTTTCTACACCAAGGTCTGCAGCATCTGCCTGGGACTAAGCAAGCCAGGCCCGAAAGCTCTTGGAATACCTACGCAAGGTCTCGATATCGTATTTCTAGTGTGCTTGGCAGGTGATTTCTCAATAACATCGTCCTGTTCAATGTCGTCTACACTACGAAACTACGTCACTTCGAGGCTTGCTGCTTCCCAGTCCTTCAGTGCGCAGCCTGATCCTACATGCACAAATTGAGCTAGTCTACCGTTCATTCTGTCCATTCCCGGCGACGATCTATCTCTGCAATATTGGAAAGACGTTGAACAATGCTAATCCTCTGCTTTTCCTCGGCACTTGCAGGATCGGCGGCTGGAAATCTCCCTGCACCATCAGGTGTGCTGAAAAGGAAGCAGTCATCACGAATGCTGCACTTTCTCGGATATCCATCCAATGGCACCAACTTCAGGCAATTTCCCGCAAGGCGGCAAATGACAACAGAGAGGCGTGGTGGGCCAACACCTCCTCGGACCATCTAATTGGAGTATTTACTGGCTTCCCTCAAGGCTCCAGGATACTGAATACAAGTCTTGTCACTGGCACGCGTACGACGCTCTCCACCTACTGTCCAAAGATGCTGGTGCTCGGCCCTTGCTACCACGAGAGATCCGATCTTGGATACCAGGCCATTTGAGACAACTGGATCGGCCGCTCGCATTGCCATCGTCTTATCGACTTCTGAAGATTTCTCGCAGAGGACTCACTCTGTTCATACCACCTAAACATCACTCAAAACGAGCGGCTACAGCGGTGTCTCAGAAATCCCGCTTCATCTCTGGCCTCGTCGGTTTCGTTCCACAGCCATACCTCAATCCTGCACACAGGATAGAGGTCAGCGCAAGGTATTCAAGAGTATCCCAGAGCAGAAAGTGGGCGTACATCAACCGAAAAGGCGCCAAGAAGCTGCCCCCAATATTTCTCGTCGACCTCGAAGCGCCATGTGCAAAGGCTCTGAGGTACTTGTCGCATGTCCGCGTCTCCAAAGAAGAAGGTGGTACAAACATTCAGGCTGGCTTCTCGCTCCGCTTTCTCCGACTCGAACTTCGGTTCCTCCAGCTCCTTCCCTCAGCCCTTCAGCACATCGTCATCCACAAAGCACGGGTGATCCCACAGCCTTACGCGGTGAGATTTGTTCAACGGCGCCGATACCACATGGCATGTGCTAACATAGCGCCTATTCGGCCAATCCGATGCAGGCCAAGGACTAGAGTTTCCTGGTCTCTCAACAAGCTCGCTGACAGAGATCCAACCATCCTCAATTGCACTTTCAACGACCCCAACGCGGCATCCTACGAAGATTAGAACTTGACTATGACATGGAAAAATGAGACATGGGCTTTCGTATGGCCAACGAAGGGCAGAGCTTCGTCCGCTCGACCCCACGCAGTACGCAACTTTGTGACCGCCGCTCTCGCCTATTCGACAAGCCGGCATCATTCACGTCCCGTCGTGTGGAGGATGTCCATCCTGTGAAGCTTCGACATTCTCGAAATTCACAAGGGGGCACCAAAGTGCAACAACATGTCTGGGTTATGATGTAAGCACCCTATGTTTGTAGGCGAGCCTTTCGCTGATATGACTAGGCAACCGGCCGACCTGAAACCCCTGGTTTGCGGCCCGCCAGCCACTTGGAATGGACAGAGACAAATCTAACAGCCGCGGGCCACTCAGCGGATCACGATCCGTATCGCTTTCGAGCGGCAGTAGTCTGGGGTTATCAGGTTCTCCGGATCTCCAGTCGGCTCACCGACGCCAAAGATTGATCATGCCATCTAATTACTCGGGGCTTCGATTCTTTGCCATCTTGGACCTTGATTGGATACATCACGACTTCAATCATTTCGGCCGGCAAGAAAACGGTATGAGGCAGGATACGGAGCTGGACCCGCTCGCTGGTGATGGAAGTGGTGGTCACAAGCCTCCGGAGACAGACCGAGAGCAGCCTGCAGTATCCAGCCAAACAGACCACCATATCATCCCGTCTAATAACATATGAGGTGGGTCCTTCGGCTGCCTTCTCCCGCTGCCTTCTTCGACTCAGAAGCCACTGGAGCGGCCGGCACTTTTGTCCCCTTCTTTCGGGTTTGCTCCTGCCATCAACTCCGAGTCGGCTGTCCAGCTGCCTGAGCTTAATGCTGGGCACGTCGAAAAACACGCCGCAGTAGGTTAGTTGCCCGAGCTGATCACCCCCTTTTCTTGTCCCGGGATTCGGGCGTCCCGCGGTGGCTTCCGTCTACGTCAGGTGGAGAGCTAACCCGGTCGTCGGTGTCAGGTCACTTTGAGTGCTTGATCTCGTCTCTGGGCCAGTCACAGGCCGTCGCCGGCCAAACCTCCGAGAGTCCTGGGATTGGGGTATCATCGACCAAGGTTCGAGGGTGTGTCAGTCCTGCCTATAGTGTCTAAGACACCTGCGAGATCCAACGCACCCGCCGGATCTTGGGGTCGGACGCACCCCTGGCCAAAGCATGTTGTTCCAGAAACATTCGTCGGTGACAGCAGCCTGGATCCATGACGGCAGACATGTGAGGGTGTTCATCACGGAAATACTTCCTCAAAGCGACCCCGACTGTTGCTCTCAGGGGGGGCCAAGACTGGAAGCCGGATGTATGGCTGAGAAATACGAGTTGCGGCTCGGTTGGCCATGTATTCGGTATACAGACGGTGGCGATATAAAGTTGAGGAGATCATGGCCGTAAGTTGGAGCTTCGGAAGCTTTGCTAGGACAGGATCGAGAGCCGAGTCTCTTACGGTAGAGCCGTTGAACTTCCAATTATATTGCACAATCACTTGTTTCCCCAGACCATACAATCTGTTGTTTGCTTTCATCTCCACCTGCTCGACGAATCCCACAAGTCGACTCGAGCAAGGATACGCATAATGTAAGTCGCCTTTTCCGATTTCATTGACATCCAAGATCAAGCGCTAATCGCCGCTTCAGGTCAGACGTCGACTCAGACAATGAAGACAGCAACAGCCTTCCTCCCCACACTACTCAAGAAATGCCTGAGGGTTCTTGGAAGTGTTGCGACTGCGGCGAGACGAACAATAGCGCGCTATGCGGCACCGACTCGGACGGCAACATGAGGTGTAACGGGGGTGCCTGTACACACTCCAAGTGCGATGACTGTACAGATGCCGACTGACGTTCCCTCTTATTCTTGTTTGTCGTCGATAAGGGTGTGGGTTATCATACTCTCCATCTCTCATGAGTGTGCTGCAACTCTGAGTAGTACAGGCTTGCTCAGGGTTTACAGTCGAGAAACTGGATACAGGTTTCTATTGTTTAGTGTCATTGTTGACTGGGCCTCGTCTTGGTCAGTGAGATTGGTTTCTCGGGGGCTTGTGATGGAGACGAAATAACTTGGATGGTCGAGGTACAGAGATGCGACTGTCTACTGCCTAGACATAAGTCGAGAGGAGCTCGTCAACCAAGGCACCGGAAGTTGGTCTCTCAATGGGCTCTGGATTTCGGCGACGGTAACTGGATGATTATCTACAGTCGGTGGATGTACCAGAAGAGCCTATCCAGACCAAGATCTTCAAAGGTGGAAACCTTATTCGAACCACACGTCCCCAGAATTGCTCTCATCTCGGGAATCACTTTGCTCACTCGGCAGTGGACTGTTGCGGCCGCTGTTGTTGCGAATAGTCCTTCGCCCTCCATCAGCACATTGGTCTTGGTCTAGTGTTGGTCACTTGCTGCTAATGATTGCTCTTTACCAAAAGTGATCATTATATATATACTAAAGTAATTATTACTCCAAAGCATGTAGCACGGCAGCTATGCCAGCCTTACCCAAACGACTGCTGGTCCAAATGTGTTCGACCACAACACCTAAACGCCAACCAATGCTTGACTGGGTATCTTTATTATGTGCTCAGTGACCGTCTGCCCGCAATTCTCGCATCTCGATATCGGCCGACGCTTGATTCGGATCCCTTAATCCATGTCGTTCCCTCAATGCGTGCAACACTGGGCCCATCTCGTAGTCACTCTCCATACTGTCATGGATGGCGCAGGGTGATCCACGTATGGGCAGTAGCCAGTCAATCAGGCTGTGCCCCATGACCGACGTCCAATTCCTTCTCCATCCGAGGTCCCAGGGGTTCTCGTCGGGCTCGGTGCTCACAATCGCGAACACTCGGGTAGCCAGGCGATCCCGCGGTGAGCTGCTATCCACCGTTGCGTCTGAAGACGCAGGCACCCCCTGCGGGTACTTTGGCAAAGGGTATGTTACTATCCCGTACCCATTTCCAGGGGCTGTGTCGCTTGGGACTCGAATCGCGAGCTGGTGAACCCAAGACTTCCGAAGCGCATCAATGTTAGTGATGTTGAGGAACAAAAATCTCCACGACGTCGCCGTCATGAGGAACGTGAACAGGCCAAAGAAGCCGGCAATTGCAACGCCAGAGATTGTTCGTCCATCTGCACCGCCGTCCCGTATTTGCTTCTTCAGGCAGTAGGCTGCCGTCGCAAGTGATATTGTGCAGTAGAGAGTGCAGTAGAAGGTGAACTGGGCGAAGAACTTAAAGGCTGCGCATGATTAGCGTCACTGGTTTTCGATCGCCACGAAGGGCAACACTGCAGACTCACACGTCTCAGATACCATGCCGCCGACCCAAGGACAGTAGTGATCCATCTTTCGGACGCACCTCCCGATCTCGCTGGAATGATGAGCGCGATCGGGCTTCCAGTTGCGGCATTCGGAGCACCATTTCGGCCGGCCATCGTTCTCGCAAACAAAAACATCTCTGCTGTAAAACTCCTCCAGGCCGGGACTATCCGGATTCTGGTCCGGTCCAGTAAAATACGGTTGGCTTTCGACATCTCCGTCCTTCCTTCGCTTTCGTTTATGGCTTGACTCTGGGAGTTGCGCTCCGGGCCCTAGCGGTACCAGACCTGGGTCCTCTTTGATCTTGAGAAAGGTTCGGAGGTATGCCGCGATCGTCATCAAGTAGAAGAAGAGGTAGATCGTAATTGTCGCGATGGCGGTGCCATGCTCGTGCCTAGTCCTGTACAGGTATTCGACTGGAGGAAACGGTCAGCGATTGATTGAATGAGCCGAGGGTTCATGGAAGAGACGGACCTCCCAAATAGGCGATGATCACGTAGGTTGCATAACCACTAGTTGCGGTGATGATGGTGGGAATGATCCTCGTCACCCATCGCGACGCGCACTTGGTGCTCGTAGCTGCCGACATCGCAGTTGCACAATCATAGTCGTGCCATGAATGTTTCTTGTCTTCGAGATCCGTCACTAGTAAAGTGTAGAGATGGGATTTCGGTCGTGGCATCGACGGCGGACGAGAAGGCCGCGTCAGGTGAGTGGGTGGGCGAGGCGCAGGACCGCGTTGTCGTCGCTAGAAACGCTTGGCTTGGAGTTGGAACGAATTATTAGTGTTGATTTGGGTTGGAACCTGCCTGACGGGAAGACCGCCGGAAAGACGGCCGGAAGGTGCGTCTGGGCAATGACAAGGGTCCCAGGCCGCGGCTGTAGCGATACGATGGAGTCCTTAATTTCCACAGGGCTTATATGAACAGGGCATGCCGAGGTTCTGTATTTGTACTGCATACGTATCTTCCGCACCTCGGAGTAACAAGAAAAGAGCGCTGCAGAACAATGCAGACCGGGAAGTGGAACAATCTCAGCCCTACAAGCTACGCACGCATGTACTCTGTACGAATGCCATCTACGGTATTGATATGCATGAGGTTCCCTCCGTCCTCCTTCACAGCCTCCAAAACGACGACATCTTGCGACAATAGAGAGAGACAACATTCCCTCCCTTTACTCAGAACCATGACCACCTGTTCATGCGAGTCATCGGTTTCCCCGAAGTTGCCATTTGTCATTGGAGGCCTTTGACCACTACATTTGGTTCTAATAACCTAGATTTCCTCAGTCCGTGACTACAACATGACGCTAGAACTCGGCAACCCCTGAACACATTCATTCGCAGTAATATTGGAAGAGGGACCACGACAAATCACGATCCTTTCTCTACCGAGACAAGCGCGCGCGCGCGTCTAATCATCCAACCTGTGCTTCTCAGCTAATTCTGCTGCCCAGCAACATTGGGCGCTCAGCTGAACGTGGGTCTGTAACTAGCTCTATGAAGCGGCAACCAACGATTTTCCAGATTCCTTCTAGCTGAACGTGATGGAGGATTCCCTCGTGGCGTAAGTTTCAGGCGATGCGTGCCCGAGACCGTATTCGGGCACAATCCACACATTCGATGGAAGCATCAGCCCCTAACGCCCAACGTCTAAGATCTCTCACGCCCGACTGGGCCCAAGTTAAGTGAAAAACATCTTCTTCGCAATGTCACAGTGTTCTCGGCATACCCATAGAACCCATTAACCAGCAACAGGCAGGCATCAGCCATCATCACCCAGTATTCTATAACGCTGAAGAAAACCTGAGGCCAATCCAGTCAGGCAGTCAGACTGAATTTCGTTGTGTGCAAAAAGTACGAGCCACTAGCTGTATCTCGCCACCTCAAGCGTACGTATTCGTTAACCAACAGCTTAGGCTTCTTTTCTTGGCAATGTCATGGTTCATCATCCCAGCCTCCTAACCCCGCGCTTGCTCTTGAAGGATTGGATGTCTCAAGAGTCACAAATCTTATCGACTCCATCGGTCAACACTTCGAGACTAGACGACAGCCTAAACAGGATGGAAAGGGTACCCGAGAGGCTCTTACTGCGGGCTTCCCGAAATTATAGTCTAGTCACAAGCAGCCACACGTCACCGACCTCAGCTCCCACAGTACCGTCGAAAGAACACTTTTGTCCAGCTGATCTCAACTCGAGGACATGAAAGGATCATAAATACACATCCAGGCACTTTGTTGGCCGAGAAGTCATCTCGACCTGTCACCCCCTGTTCGGCTACCTCAAAGAAGATTCAAACCCGTCCTACGAGGCTCTGAAGAATATCCCCTTCTACGTCGGTACTGGGATCAACCCTGGCTTCTTGGCCTGAGGCTGTTGACAACGTGGTGGGTTGTTCAGCCTCATCTTCAACTATAAGAAGGCTTTGACCGCCCCCCTTCTCTTGTTCTTCTCTTCGGATTCACAACCTCTCGACGATACCGCGAAACGGATATGGCGAAACCGATCGACCGACCGACTGACGAACTTAACCGACGAACTCGACCGATGGCCGATTAACTTGAGCAACCTGGATGAGATTTGGGAAGAGGGGGAATAAGAACGCCTTTACCCTAAGTCGTTGCTCTACTATTGATGGTTGATGACGGAGCTATTCCCGATGGTCGATACTCTATGATTTATCGACAATCATCCAAGTTTCACTTGGAGACAGGAAGCGATAATCAGTCAGACTACGAAGGTCGAAACACCCAGCAGGCGTGCTTCTTTCAGCTTCGATTCTTGATGGAAGCCCCCCCTTACCTGCTCCTACGATACCTCTCGACGAGAAGCGAACACAGCACCTTGATACTATTCATGATTGTTCACAACTTCATTCGATAGTGTTCTTCCATTCGTCCGATTAGAAGGCGGCTAAACCCGGACTAAACAGCAATGGAATAACAACAGCTCAACAACAAAAACAACCAACTACCAATCGGGATCACATAACAGCGACCGACACTGACCGAGCAAGGTGTACAAGGTGAAGCAACTGGGCAAAGATCGGCACGTGACAGCTGTACCCATACTGGCTGCAGGGGAAAGAGCTAGGATTACGCCAATTTCGGGGATGACTGCATACCAACATGGACTTGCAGCTCGGGGCCAGAGCCTGCTTGTCTCCTTACCCTAATGTCGGGTAGGGTTACTGTCGCCAGCAAGCCAGCACACAGAAAGCTGTCTCACTCCCGGCACTTCTTTACCCCGAGCAGCCACATCAGTCACTTCAGCTGGTGGGTGGGAGGCCGAAGACGTTGGAACGAGCTTGGGTTGGTGGAAAGTACGAAGACACTGCACGATGACTCGACAGAATCATGGCAGGGCCAACTCGGGGCCCAAGAAGCCAGTTTCCATGCGGCTCTGCTCGCTGGAGGCTCAATTCCCTGCCAGACAAGTCCCACTTGGCTGCCTGCTGGTCGGTGTACGAGACGGATCGAAGGCTAGAGGTCCCGGACGACGTAGTTGGTAACACCGTTGCATTCTGAAAGTACCCGGCAGGAAGTTTACCCGCTGCATTCCGACCAAAAGCGCGCAGAGCCTCATCCCCTCCCTCCCAGCGGGTTTTGCAAAGCCTTGCCGCTCGTAACGCAGAGCAGAGCAGAGAAGAGCAGAGCAGAGCCGCATACCGAGGCCTGGTCTCAAGCCTCATCCGCCCTCATCTTCCCCACGCCCTCGCCCTCGTCTTCGCCCTTATTGCTCCATGTCCAGTCCTTACGAGGTCCCTCATTCGACCGCCCTGAGCCGTACTTTCGGCGAGAACAGTCACCTGCTCCCCATGCCAGGTGGATATTCCTAACTACTTGTCTAAGCTAAACTGTTTCACAGGCGTACGGTACTCACATTCTGCCTAGACGGACCGTAGCATCGCTGTCGAGGACCCTGGCTCCGAGGCGCAACTGCGCGGGCCTCGATGACCGTATTTTATTTGCCAATGGGCGTGAGACGGTTTCCTCCCTCCGGAGGCGCAGACAGCAAGAGCCGGGTCGGACGCGGGGTGTTTTGTTTCGTCTGTCTCGAAGTCGTTTGCCGTCACAACACTGGGGCAGGCGAGACTGCCTCTCCGCAGCAAACGAGACGAGAACGATTCACGAAAGGACCCCGCATCGAAAGACTCATTCACGAGGTATCGGTAAGTCCGTCAGTGGTTGTCGTGCGTGGCTTTGGAAGTCCATTGTCATGGGAATTACATTGCCTTGTCCGTTGGAATTGGCCTCGACTTTCAACGAGTGTTCGAAATGCGCCTCGAGGATGATTCCAACTGTGCTGTTCTCGTTATATAAACTAGACGGCAAGATGGATTCTGGCCTGAAGTTTTCGGACCATCATTCAACATCGTTCTCTACGCACCATACACACCTCTGGCTGTATCTCTCCGCTTCCCAAGTCAAATTTCTTTCAGTAGCAAAAGTTTACTACGCTCATCTTCACAATATTCACAATGGCCGGCGAGACATACGTCTGGACTTGCGTAAGTACTCCAAATTTAACAGCTTTGAATTTGATGTTAACACTCGATAGTGCCAATGCGGCGACTCTGGTATGAACTACTATTCTACACCGGGCTGCCCTACTTGCGGCAACTACAGGTGCGACCATTGCCCTGTTCAGGCGATCAAGGCGAAGAAGCCGAAGAGGAAGTAGAGCAGCAGCGCCTACTTCTTCGAGATGAGAGCGTGCGCGGTTTCCGCGCCGGTGTCATCTCTGGAGAGCAACGAGGGGCCTCTCGAGCGCGGCCGGCTTCTTAGACGAATTGAAGAGCCACGATGCGACTCAACTCTTCACATGCTCGAATACGGGATATGGCGGAACGATTTAGGGGCCAATTGACCTCACTGAGCCAATTGAGACCAGAACCAATGGCTTTTTGCCACTGCGGGGGGTGGGGGGTGTCGGACATTGGGCGATATTGTTCGCGGGATGATATGTGTCGTGCGGGTTCGGGCTTTCTATCATTGGGCGTTTCTTTCTTTTTTGGGGTTTGATATCATTACATGAGTCACTGGGGGATGCAGCGGTGGTGTCCCTTAGTGGACATGTCAGAAACCCAGACTCTTCTTCGACCGTTTTCATTTGTATTTCTCAGTTCTCTCTTGTTGCTCGTCTACTAGGGGTTCTAGATGCGGGACATGGGATAGACTAGATAGATGTCTCGCGACACTTTGAATAGACCACTCTCTTAAGCCACAAACTATCTGTCCTCAAGCCATCCGTGTGACATGACTGGATTCAGCTGCCAGGGGCTGGACGACATCGTTACTCAAGGATTGCTGTGCAGTCAGCTTGGGGTCACGCCAGATTAGGTGCTTGTCTCGGCTGTCTATTCATCCCAGTTTATCCAGATTTTGCATACGAGAGATCTCGTCCTACGTTGCGCGAATCTTACGAGCAGACGCGTGCCCCTTGAGCGTACCTGAAAATCGAGTCTCGTCAACTTTCAAATCTCACACTTCGCCCTGTGGCTTACCGGTACAACAGTCCAGCCACAAGAGAGGTGACGACCAGAAATGACGATGTGTGTGTATATTTGGCCAGCCAAGGCGAGAATGAAGCCTCAACTACGGTATCACGGCAACGAGAATCAGCCGAGCTTTCGGTCGCGACTCGCCCTTCCAACTGATGAAGTTGCTTCATAGCGGCA